CGACGTCTCTCTCTATACTGTGCAATCGTCAAGTACCTGTCGCGGCTATTCGCACAGCGTTGTGCCAAAAAAGCCCATGGTAACTCGATAAACTTGACTACAAACTCCTCCGACTTACTCACCGCTCTCAACTTATCCACCATATTTACCATCCATAAAGCACCATACCTCCCCATATGAATAGCAGTTGACATCCTCGAGCCCCTCTCTATGATCCGAACAGTGCCCGATACGGTAACAGACACCTCAAACTCCTTTGTCTCAACTCTAAAGCGTTGATTAAACACCATACCATATGCATCCACCTGTTCGTGCCTTTGATTATGACGAAACGAAAAATCGGACGACAAAATAGGCATGCTGATGACGCTGGGGATGTTCTGCCGGAGTTCCTGATTTTCTGGCCCCGGCGCGTGGGCCACACGCACTGGCAGGTCCAGCGCCGGAGAGGCGAGCAGCTTCTCTGGCGTCGAAAATGCCTGCACAGGGCGCCGGTCAAGCGCGTCTGGCCGGATGATGGCCGAAAAGGGGTCAATCTAGGTTTTGGTCTGAGAGCCCATCTCATATTGCCGTTCAGTAGGGTTTTGGGAACTATGTGGCGTGAGGCCGGTAGGATGTTGTCCTCCTGTAGTCTCGCCGTCACCGGCGTCGACCGAAGGGGAGGGTTGCTGGGTAAGGGGTGGTGGGGTGTCTTTGGATTTTGGGGGGAGAGGCTCCATACGGGAGAGAAACTAGGATACTTTTGGGAGTTCAATTGATAGCCAATAAGAATACTTTCTATAATTGAAAACTAAACCTCAAAATTCTATTTTATTCATTTTAACCCCTTATTCAATACTCATTTCCTTCTTTGTGAATGATTGATTTTGGTTTATTTAAAATGACATCTTGAGTTAATAAAAAAATTGAAATTTGAAAGACGTACCCACTCACACGTGTCAGAAATTTGGACTTTTTTAAACCATATCCCCATATCCTATATTTTAAAAAATAAAGTATCCGACACTTAGATACATACCCGTACCCGAGTCCGAGCATAATAGCGTTTTCCCCCATCATTTTTAGTGGACATACGGGCATCTTGTATCTCTCCCATGTTGCAGCTTGATGTGTCTGTCCAACTTTGGAAAATAGTTCTTTGCTCAAATTTTCAAGTTTTATTACTCATGCAACTTCTAGCCTACAGCTCTTTCGTGCCTTGGTTTCTGACAGTAATCGCATCAAAGACTGTCCTTATGTGTAGCTTTCCTGTCCCCTAAATTGGAGACAGATTTAAAGGTGGTTGTAGCTAAGTTTTCTGATATAGGAGCCCAGGAGTTGCCTCCCATTAGTTTAGTTCTTCGTGAAGGCATCATCTAGGTTACGGGAAGCAACTCTTCCAAACAACCCCACACGAGCTTGAACATACTCGAGATTTAGCCTATTAGGAACCGAAGCACCCTTTACTTGGACTTCATCTCCAGATCTTGACATAGATCTAGTCCCAAAATAGACATTCAACAGAGTTGTATTAATCTGTGACACAAGAGCCTTGCTTGGTGTTGACAACCTGCCTCTTTATCTCAATTTTGAGATGCAGACTTCCTTTTAGGTTCTTGAAATTGACTCCTAATCATCCTTAGTTGTTGATAGAAGAAAGTAAATTTTTGGTTGTATAGAATGGAGTACCAAGACAAAACGAAATTTCATCTTTCCAAATATCATACATGGATCTTCCATGCATCGAGGTGTCTTAGCAATACCACGATGCATTTGATCTTATGTGTACTAATAACGAGATTCACATGATTGACCATTCCATATAATTCCATATATTTGTTTTTGGATGTGTTCCATGATCCATCTGGATGTTTGGATTTTAAAAAAGAATGGAAGGTTGATTGTAGGTTTGTTAGTGGCTGCCACAGTGCTGTCACTGTTTATTTCAGGCTTTCATAAAATATGTAAAGATCTGTTTAAATAAAGAGATGGACAAAAGCAGTGGCAATGAAAGCTGCTAATAACATCACAGCAATGAATGCTGGATAGCAACAACAAAGGCTGTAAAAAGGAATAGTTTCCAAAACTCTTAAGAGGATGATACCATGAAGAATGTCAGAAGAGGGAAAATTTCTGTTTAAAAGAATAGAGATGGAAGCTTAAATACGGTACATAAGAGTTCATTAAATCTGTAAATAAGGTAACAGATAAAAGGCCAGATTTCTAGGATTTGGAAATAATCCACTAGTTGTATATCCTATCTACGGAAGTTAACAAAATGAAAAAATACTGAAAATAAAGCTAATGAACAAGTAAACTCAGATCTGCCAATACTTCCAATATTTCATCTTAACACCTTCCACGTAAACTTGTGTTTGAATTCTGTGTTGTATTTGCCTCTTAAACAGAATTGTAGTGCACCACTTGATTGCCCACAATAAATCATTATTTTAGTCTCTGGTCAGAGAGTAGGAGAAAATAAAAACTCTCATTGGCATTGCATTGCATGCAACAAGCTGGTATGTTTCTTTTGTCTTACAATTTCAGGAAAGGCAATTAGACTTCGATAACTTATCTCGTGACATCATACAATTCTTGTTTCCTATCATTTAGCTAACTATTATTGGTGAGCTGATATTTATAACAATTAGCCAGATTTAAGGTAAGAGTTTATCTTCACAAAAGAACTTTCGTTACTATTATACTAAAATATTGTCCGACAAGATTTCAAGTAATTATCTAGAGAACTTACTAGTTAATTAGAATAAAATGCTAATTCTTAATATGGTCAGATCCCTCAAATTCTTTCCTAAGATCAACAATTAACTATTCCGAATGACGACTACAGGGTTCTTTCTAATTTGGCTTTATGAAGATGTTCTTGATTAGGAAATTGGAGCTTTGAGGCAGTTAACAGATTAATTTAAGAACCCACAAATAATAACGACCATGACGGAAATCATCTCCACTACTTCAGCTAACATGATATTTTACTCTCAGGCCCCCCATACCAAAATAGTGCCAATTAAAGGTGAAATAACGGAGCCCACGAATAAAAGTCCCATATCAACAACTAAGTGTGAATAGCCAAAACAAACCTTAGAAGGCTAAACTATCATTCCACGAGGTGATGTAGTTATACAGTTGATTTTGGCACATAAGATTTTGAAAACTTGAGACCGACCAAATTCAACGAGAATAATGAAACGTCGAGATATTCTAAAAGAAACTGAACGATATCACAATATACTGTAAAAACATGGGATAGAAGTTGCTTGAGTTACAGATATCACAATTTATATTCTTGGTAAATCAACTAATAACAGATATGGCTTTAAATTTTTGCTGAGTTAAAGGTAAGCGGGCAATTAAAAAATAGGAGAAAAGAAAGAAAAATATCACTGAACATAGTTATTCAGTTGAAAGACCAATATCACTGAACATAGTTATTCAGTTGAAAGACCAGAAGAGATTTCATTTGCTGAAAAAACATTTCTCAAATGCTATAGTACAAGGACAATAATGAGAACAGATGAATTCCCTGTTTTCTTACAGAATATTCTTGAAAGGATTACCTCTCGAAAAGACCCAGCTTAAGAATTACATCAGCAAGATTGGAATTGGCCTTTCCAACTAGTTGAAAGAGCTTTTTTCTCTCCATTGCAAAAGTTCCAGTTTTCTCCATCCCACGATTGATGTCAGTAAATTCTGCAACCATTCCATCAACCTAAAAGAGCACACATAGAGCTCGACAAGATATAACCAATAGAGTAGCACCACCATATGGGGGAAACATGGATGTTGATAGGATACCTACCTGACGCACATAGTAGTCAAGAGCAATACTTTGACCAAGAACACTACCAATAGTACGGATCCCGTCAATATTTAGGTGCTGCAGCATTATGTAATCTAACCCACCTTGCATCCATGTGTTCAAAGTTGGCTTCTCTCTCACCTCATACTCTATTTTTTTCCATAAGCATAGAGAAACTCATCATATTGGAGAGGATGGATACAAAAGTGGCCAACAAAGATACACAACAGTGTGTTATCAAATGCTTCTCTTGGAACATAGAGAAATTCTACTTTGGATATGAAATTAATAATTTCTTTTGTTTTTAAAGTAAGATATATTAGGCTTGAGGCCAGCTTTAGCAAGGCATCGAGAAGAAGGTTTGAACCAGTTATTGAAAACAGGACAATGATTGATATCATTGTATGAGCACAATCACTTGACAAAGGTTATGCACAAGTTTGACACCAGAATATGGGCATACCGTCCTTTCTCATCTCAGGGAGCAATCCTGAAGAATGTCTTTCAACAATTTTTAGATATCCATCAACCTCATGATCACGGACGTTGAATAAGACAATCGATCCATACTGAAAAACTATCATGTAACAGCAATCGCTTCCACTTAAATTAGCAACCAAGCCCTGAAACCACATATCATTTAGAAAGATTTTTAGGTATAACATTAATCATGTCTTTATGTAAAGAAGTACTAGCATAATGTCATTGACATATTATTAAAAAGTAATGCGCTACAGAATGATGAATACTCACTATTTCTAGAGAAAGAAGATTCACAAAGGAAAGAAAAATGACTATATAAGAGAACAGATTAAATCAGAGAGTATTCAGTAACAAATTTTTGTTGATACAATAGAATCATAACTCAATTTGATAAGTAGCTTCACCAAATTGATCTAAGGTGCAAAGATAAAGGACCTTCCCATTAGTTAGAAAAGGCCTACTCCATCACCCCTTCAACAATAGATGAAGATGGGGTGGATCAATAGGTATTAGACCATAGAAAAGACAAATCATATCATTGCCTCGGCATATCGATGCTGTGATGTCCTCCTCTACAAAGCAAGTTAAGAGCTCAGTCTACGTAGGGAAATGTGGCCAGTAGATATTGTTAACTACAATTACTACCAGTACTGAAGGCTCACAAGCTTCCAGCTAACTAGAGGAAGAAGAAAGTGATTGTATCAACAACCCCTTGTTCTCTGATATTTTTGCCTCTGTTTTTCAACAATGGATTTATGTTTTCTATTGGAAAAACAAAAGGAGTATGGCATACAGATTCTATTTTGCAGTATGCGTGCATGAGTGCGAATGCGTGTTCATTCTGAGAAAGGAAGATAGTGGCCATCTGCAAATTACTACAAACTCTAAAACCAGAGCACATGATACAGAAGTAATAGAAAAACCCATTATATTTTGTACAATTAGCCTTCTGCAAATTGCCTAAAAAAATATAGTATACAAACCCATATAACAATACGGCTTATACATATTTTAGCCCATAAATCTTCGAAAAGTAAAGAGTTGGTCATTTCCATGAACTGAATCTATTTAAGCAAATTATTCTAAAGCTAAAAAGTAAACAATAATAATATGAAATGTCGGTTTGATGAAAAGATGTTTGATACAAAATTATCTACATTGGAGGAGCGATTGAGGGTACGAGTTTTTTTGGGCTGGTTACACAAAAGTAAACTGGTAGAGAAGCAACTAATTCACAATATGACATATTTAAAAGTTAATTTCTACATCACCAAAGTGAAGCTAAGAATCCTGATCTCCGCAAAAATACAACATCAGTTATGTACTAATGTACTATCAGCATTTTAATTCATAAATATGTACGTCACATTAGCATTGACAAGGGGTGGTTGTTTTCCTTGATCACAACTCACAAAAATGTTAGAAGTTGAAAGATCTTTACACACTAGCTATACTTATATTTACAATAACATCGAACTTTGCCCCCTAAGGATGGAGTCAATATTCCCTTGATCTTTTATAAAGTCATTCCGTAACCTACCCAAACAGATTCTGACGTCTCTTACATATCTACTTATCCTCTCACTATACAAAGAAGAATTACTGTAATAAATCAAACTTGTATACGCACATTTTCAACTATATACTACATTAAACAATATTCCTTTTGTTTCTATAGTTATTTTAAACCAAATGCTTAATGTCATCATCATGCAGTGTTAAATAAAACAAATTATAATCAAAGACATGTAATTAATTCAATAAAAAATGTTAATCTCTTCCAAAAATATTATAAACATAAATGGAACAAAAAAAAAGGAAACTTACATTAGACTCTGGCTTCAAGTCACCAAATCTCATAACCACATAATTCGTCATTCGAGATGAAGGGAGAATAAAATTCTGCTTATTCCTCTGCACTAAGGTCCTCAAATCCACACTGGAACACAGTCACCAAAACAATATAATAATACTCGCAAGACTACAAGAAAGCTTAAATAAAACATATTTATACACTCCGCCAATTTCCTTTCTTTCATAAATAAAGTGAAATTTTGAACTCAAACCTAGTGGAGAAAAAAAATGCCCTAACAGGAATGGGAGCTTTGAAAGTTTCATTACATTCATCCTCCTCTTCCAAAACCTCTAATTCCTCGATCAAATTTACACCTCCCCCGATTTCCGAGCACGAAACGGGGTTGGTCCAGTCCACGGTGTTGGCGGCAGAAGACGAGATGCATTTGGGCACAGAAATCCCAGTATTCCGCCTCGAAAAAGACACCGTTTGGGAGGAAGTTGATTTCGAACGGAAAATAACTGAGAAGGAAAATTGGGTACTGGGATTGGGTTTTTTGCAGAGTACGGAGGAAAAAGTTCGTGTGGAATTGAAAGGGCAAAATATGAAGGCTGACGATATGCTCTTGCCGCGGGATATTAATGTTATGAACCTCATTTTTCAGCTTCTGGGTAGCTGCTGTTTGTATATTTCTTCCACTATCTCGAGGCTGGACCAGAGGAGGAAGAAAACAAAAGGGTGTCAACTGTGGCGCAACAAAATACCTAAAGGCTAAAACCATGAATATAGCCCGTTGGGCTAAGATAAAAATTATTTTTTTTTTTTTGGTAAATTTTTATAAAAAATAATAAAATATATAATTAAAAATTTTGAATCTCATAAAATATATTATTAAAATTAATTTTAATTTTAATTTTAATCAAAAAATTTAGGGCATTTTTCTTTGATGTTTTTGGGCCATTTTCTGTTTTCGATTTTTCAAAACGGTGAAAACTCGTTCTCTTTCTTATTTTCGAAAATAAATTTTGAAAAACAAAAAAAAAAATTGTACTAGAAACACAAAACAACCAAAACTACGTTTTCACGATTTTTAGTACAAAACACCGTGAAATCAAAAAAATACGGGAAACACCGTTTTCAACTTATCC